GAAAAGCTTGGGCACAATTATACCCAACTGATTACAATTCTTTGATTACAATTCACTTATATCAAATCACTATTCCTAATTCGCCTAAGACAACGCAGCATACAAATAAAAAATACAAAAAATAAAGCCAAAATAATGATAATAAAAGAACCATCCAAAGCCAGCCCCTCTATGGTTATTTTAGGGCAGCTGGTGGAGTTAGTCATAAATCTACTTTTACAACTTAACAACTCCGGGGCTTCTATTTCTAACACTTATACTTAACCTAAATACAACACTACTATACAACACAAAATTTTACAATTTACACAGCGTGGTTAACAGAACTTAGATACACTTTACAGAATTACACAGTGAAATTAACACAATTTGACTATTAATTAAACCAATAACTAATACATTTAAGCAATACTTACAAATCCAGAAACGATAACAACACAAAGACACACTAGAACTCGGAGCATGCTCAGGACTCGTGCACCCCTATATTTGATTCGAAGGGTGGAGAGGCAGCCTCAGGGTGATCAATCCTTTAGCCGGGCAAAAAAAAAGACACGTGCCCTCAATACACGGAACCTCCGTCGAACAAAGGGGTAGAGGGTCTTTTATACAAAAATTCGGTGTCTGTTGCCATGCTAGGGTCTGCATTTGGCAGGGCCTGATAGGCTAGTGATGAGGTAGTATGACAATACTGCCCTATAGAAATTTTCGTGATGTATGCGTGATCCCCTCGTGGACAGGACCAGATGGGGCATAGTTAGTGTTAGACAATTATGTTTTATTACCCTATGTTTACTTTTTCCCTTGCCCCTAAGACTGGTCAAGCTACGGTCAAATGAGGCTTATCTGTAAGCACTATCTAGTCATGCTCACCTCCCTATTTTTTGGCGCCTGTGAGTCCCAGAATGCCTATAAGATCAAATTCCATTTACAAAACTGCATTGTGCTGCCCATGCTCCTCTGAGTATCTGGGTTTTGTGTGAGGGGCCTTGTGTGGCAGGATGGGCTATACGCGAAGGCCGTGGACAGAAAAAGCCTGCTTTACAACAACATCGACTATTCAGTTAATCTAAATTGAACATCTTTAGTTCCGCAGTGTCTTGATTAGTCTGCAAGTATCTACCTGGGTAACGGAAATGTGACTGCAGGCTCTTCAGTCTCGCACACAAATATCTAACCAGATCTAATGGCTGGAAGCTGAAGCTGTGTGTTTTTAATAGTGAAGGTAACCAAATATTGGAACAATTTCCCAATCGTGGTGGTGGATTCTCCACCACTGGAAATCTGTAAAATCAAACCAAAACATGCAGCTCGTTCAAACAGGAATTAATTCAGGAAAGGTCTGTAGCATGTCCAGGAGGTCAAATTAGGTGATCACAATGGTCCCTTTCTGGCTTGATAAGCTGTAGAAACCACTAGTGGGTTTTCTTGTGACAGTTGTTAAGATGTGGTCCATGCTACGAAAAAATATTGCCCTCCCCTGCCATATTTCCATAGAGCTTGTTGACGGCTCTCTAGTTTGTGTTTTGCGATGGAATATGAAACTGACACTTACATTTTTGCCACAAAAAGTGGTAAGATTCACACCACTGACCTGTCTGCTACTGTAAAGTATCAGCTCTTGGTGTGTAGCTTTCTTTTTATAAATAAAAAACTGTCAACTTCCCAGGTTCCTGGATAATCGACTGTTTGCAACTTGCTCGGATGACACTACGATCGCGCTTTGGGACCTGAGGAAGCTCAACACAAAAGTGTGCACGTTACATGGTCACACCAGCTGGGTGAAGAACATTGAGTATGACACCAATACCAGACTACTAGTCACATCAGGCTTTGATGGCAATGTGATCATCTGGGACACTAACAGGTATGTGGATATTCCTGGTCAGGAAAGAGGTGTG